TTTTATAGTTCTACCATATTTCCAATGATGCTAAAATCATTTGCTACAAAAATAAGCAGATTTCACAAAGCAACATGCACTGATTATGAGGTGTCTAGAATCTAACCACTAAGCACATATGATAAAGATATTAAGAAAGAGCAAATACAGGATACTTCCCAGAGAAAAGCAAGAATAGAAGACCCCTGTCACCAGTGGAGGACCCAGAAACACAAAGACGGCTCAATTTCATTGGCAATGGACACAAGGATGTACCCCAATAGTGGTTCCTCAACTGAACAGCTAAAGAGCTCTGTATTCCATCAGCCTGCCATTTTCCCTGAGCACTGAGGTAGAAAACTTTCATTTGCAAGCCTATTTTAATATTTTGAGCATTCCATAGCCTCCTTCTCATGTGTCTCATATGCTGTAGTTTACTGCATTTCATCTTATGCCCAAGGCTAGATTATTAAGGGCTGAAGTGGAATTTTCCATAATAACTACAATATAAACGTCAACCAGCGTTTTGCCATGTGTTTCAAATTCTTAAAAAGTTTCTTCACCACTGTATTGGCTAGAATAGTGTGACTTATGTAAATGTTCACTGTGTAGGAATTTCTCTCTGGTCACTTCTTGCTAAAACTTCCTAATAGCAGGATGAAGAGGTAAAGAAAAAATCTCTATGGATCATGTCTATTCAATACTTGGAATAGTCAGTTCAGTACTCTATAAAAGCAATATTCACACAGAGTGACTTCGGAAAGTGCTCTTTCCAAATCCCTTTGAAATATAATGTTAGCCAAAAGGTTTATAGAATAATTTAGAAACATAATTCCTTCTTGTCCCCAATATCTGCTTTTCTATATTCAAGTTAATTTTCTCTCAGTCCCAATTAGAGTTGAGAATATGTACTCAGTAGAAAAACACAGAGCTATTAGATTAGAATGTTTTGTTTTTATTTAGATAGTGGCTTTTCACTTGATAGTGTCTTTTGCACATCAGAGTCCCTCAACTCATTTATTATGACTGAATAAGTACATATGATTCCACTTCATACTGAATATCCCGATGACCTAAATAGAGAAGTTTCTAAGAGAGACTATATCAGGACTTGAATTTGGAACCAGGAAATGTCTCTGAAGTTATGGTTTTTCTTCATCATAGTAGTTGCGTGGCCTCAGGATCTGAAAGAGATGCATGATCATACATGGTCCAGCTATTCAACCTATACTTTGCATGGCTTACTGCTTAACACAAGACATGGTCCAAATAACTTGTTTATATGAATTCTGCAGGAGTCCTGCAACTTGGTATCAAATCTATACCCTGTCCATAATATAGAATAAAAGTACATTTTAAAAATAAACTGATTAAAAGTCATGATGTTTTGGTACATTTACATTATAGTTTAGCTCAAGTATTGGATTAAAGACTTTACCAAATGTTTATATGGGAGTTTCATGGTAATGAAAGTGTTGTCATATAATATCAATCATATTAAATTTTGCTTTAAAATATTGAAGTCACTCCATAATGTTATGAAATATTAAAATCAAATATGTGAGGAAACTAAAAAGGATCTGCTTCATAAATTATGTCAGCTAATTTCGGGTTGGGGAATATAGGTCTCAGTGGAATTGTAGTGGCTAAAGGACACAGTTCTTCACATTTATGAGGGAACTGTTTAAAATAATGATAACTGGTTTTATATGGAGAGGTTTTATGACCTCAGATTCCCAGAATGACTGTGGATTGCCTCAACTATGTACAATTCACATGGTTATGCAGGTTTTGGTTAAGTAGCATCCTTGACATGCATCCGCTCAGGTATCTGGTGGGCTGGTTGATGGTTTTAGGATAAAAACCCATGGTGAACCTGTCACTGCTCTCCTATAGGAATGTCTGTCCATAGTACTGCTGTTGCGATATGGCTGTGATAATTTCTGTAGTGTTATTCTCTAAGAAGTAGCCTGGCCCCAATATAAGTAATCTGCTTCTTATACAAGAGAGTTCCATAGTTGCTTCTCTAAGTGAGACTGCCATGGGTTGAAGCTAACAATACAGATGTCTAGCTACTTGAATGAGTCTGTCCAGCTACGCCGTTGTGATTGATTGTTATTTGAGAATCATTTTGATTTCCTGACTGCTTATTTCATGGTGTAGGAGTCTTCTTTGTAGATGGGTGCTTTTCATGTACAAGTTGTTCATTTATTTATTTATTTATTATTGAAAATTTTTTTCCCTACTAAAGGAGAAACAGGATAAAAATTCCCTATCTTGCCATGGAGGAAAACAATGACAAAACAGAGAAGCCCCTGAAGACAGTCAAATAATAGAGATTTCCATGGATTCTGAAAGCTCTTAGTACAAACATGGAGATTTCCAGCTTTTCCTTTATTATGGTATTTTTAAGCAGCAGTTATGTTTCTCAGTAACATAATGGGCCTGATTTATGGGAAAGTCCAAAGTCCTAATCACAATCATAAAATATAAAGTCATGGCAACTGTAGTAAGTTTAAAGGCATACTTTGCTTTTCAAGGGCATCCTGTCTTTAAGTAAGAGGTCTTTCATTGAGCTAAAGAGATTAAACTGAATTGTTCTTTTTAAGGAAATGATGAAATTAGTGAAGAAAACAAAACTCTGTAGCTAACAATTTAAGCAAAATCATGCAATTAGTGATATCTCTGCTAGACTATGTTTTTTTCCCATCCACCTCTAATAAAACCATCGCAAGGAGCAGTGCCATCTAATGTACGTAGTAAACATGGTGAGTAAATTATTAATATCTGGTGAGGCATACAGATGGCAGGACTTCCATTTTTCTTTTGAGCTGCTCTTGCACATTTGTTAATCATCCTTCCAAAAATTTTTTTGCAACGATAAATATGAACTTTGAAAGTAACATTCAACAGGATGTGAATGTAAAAAAATAGCACAATGTGAATAGTAAAAACCAGCACTTTCCACCTCTGCATAGCGAAATAATGGTTACTTTCTGCTCCATCTGTAGTAAACTCAGTGAGGTTCTAGCATGTTCACGTATGCACTGCTTAATGGAGAATGGTCTAGGTCTTGTGATTCGATTAAAGGCATACTTTGCTTTTCAAGGGCATCCTGTCTTTAAGTAAGAGGTCTTTCATTGAGCTAAAGAGATTAAACTGAATTGTTCTTTTTAAGGAAATGATGAAATTAGTGAAGAAAACAAAACTCTGTAGCTAACAATTTAAGCAAAATCATGCAATTAGTGATATCTCTGCTAGACTATGTTTTTTTCCCATCCACCTCTAATAAAACCATCGCAAGGAGCAGTGCCATCTAATGTACGTAGTAAACATGGTGAGTAAATTATTAATATCTGGTGAGGCATACAGATGGCAGGACTTCCATTTTTCTTTTGAGCTGCTCTTGCACATTTGTTAATCATCCTTCCAAAAATTTTTTTGCAACGATAAATATGAACTTTGAAAGTAACATTCAACAGGATGTGAATGTAAAAAAATAGCACAATGTGAATAGTAAAAACCAGCACTTTCCACCTCTGCATAGCGAAATAATGGTTACTTTCTGCTCCATCTGTAGTAAACTCAGTGAGGTTCTAGCATGTTCACGTATGCACTGCTTAATGGAGAATGGTCTAGGTCTTGTGATTCGATGGGGTTTTAAAATTAGGTCCTCAACAATGCAGCCTTGATAGTCCCTCCGACTGGGACGTGGAAGGGTAAGTCCCCAGCAAATCTGGGTCTTGGGGAAAACCTCCTGGTCTCTGACCTCAGCCCCCTGCTAACCTGAGCTGTAGTCTTCTGAAATGATCACCTGCGTTCCTAGCCAAGGCAAGGCTAGACCAAAGTTCCTTTTCACTCGTGCCAGTTTCACCTCAGGATGCTTCCGCAGAATTGAGGCGCCTAAGCAGACAAGGTCAAATTAAACTGCTTCACTGCTGCTTCTGGCTCAAGGGCTGGAAAGCGCATCTACCCCCCTAGCACAGACCCGCAGTGAGAGAGGGGTCAGGGCAGGAGCCCTGCTTTGTAGATGAGCAAAACGCACCCATCTTCTCCTCTATTCACTCCAGAGGCGCCTCTAATCCCCCCACTCCTGGCATTCCCTTATCAGTGGCCTCTTTGCCTGTGGCATTTTTTTTTCTTTTTTGGGGGTAGTAGAATGCTGAGGTCACAGACAGAGGTATTTTATCCCAGCAATGGAGAAGCCAGTCTGGAATCCTGAGCATGAACAAGCAAGAAGCAGACTCTCTCTCTTGACTTTGGGCTCCAAGCACTGCCCTGGCCCCGGGATGGCCCGCGGGCTCGCTCCTCCCTCCTGTCCTCGCCCGCTGGCTCGCCTGGTCTGCAGCATTCTTTGGTTTCCCACGCGCGTCCTAGTCTGATAGGAGATGCTTTGCACACGGAAGCCCCGCGGGTGCCGACCCCAGCCCGCGGCTCCAGGAAGGTTCCAACCCGAGCAAGCGGAGGAGACGGGCATTCACGTGGGCATCTGCCTTCAATCCTGCTCGCACTTCTCCTCAGCGGCCCGCGTCAGCGGCCCTGTGCCCCGACTTATCCCCCCAAAGTTAATCAGCTGTACTTGTCAGTTCGCTTTAGTTTGGAAAATACTTAAAAACCTCAAAACGTTCTTGGGAGACGGCCATCCCTGAATCCCCTCAGTTCTGCCTGGCTAGGGCTGTCGGGCGCTTAGGAGGCTGTGGCGTTTCTCTAGAACCAACATCTGAGACATGCAGCCTCGCCACCTCCCTGGCTTTCGCGAAAGTTACCAGACGCCCCTCGTCGACCTGGCCCTGCCATATGCAGTTGCGTAACCTCGCCCCCCACGCCCGCCCGTTTCCAGGTCCGTTCCAGTATGCACCGGCGCGTCCTAGTCCCGGGAGCCGCCAAGTCTCAGGCAAGCCCGTTTGCGGGCGAGTGAGTGCGCCCGAACCGGGGTCGGCACCCGTCCGGGCGTTTGCTCTGCTATGGCCAAGTGCAGCTGGAACCGGGGGCGGGAGGAGGGCACACGGGGCTGCGCTTACCTTCCACTGCTTACAGATAAGTCGAGGTCGGTGCAGCACCTGACTCGGGCATGTCTCGCCGCGAACCCTGGCAAGCCTGGTGCGGCGCGGAGCACTCCGGGCAGGTCATCCGCGGCAAGGCTCGCCGGGCTCACACGGAAGAAGGCTCGGTTCCGGGGACTTGGCC